CTGGAATCTAATATACCCAACCACTATAGAATGCAATATTGCATACACACCGGGTATATGGAGATCTAATTTATCTGTTGTGCAATGCTGAATTCTCTCGTAGAATACTGATAGTGTGCATTCAGGTAGGAGATAATCTCTCTTCTATGCACTGAAATTGATGATACAGCAGCTCTTCAGTAACATAGCAAATAACTGGCACTTACATTATTAGTTGGCAATTATCTGTTTGTGTCTTCATAATTTAAAACAGCAGTCTTGTCTGTATACAGTGAGAATATATTATATCGTAATCCATAGCATAACTAAAATAGACTTAAATAGACTCTGCTGCCTTCATACACGCATGGATGACACAGTATAGTGATGGCTTCAACTTACACTTAAGTCGTTCTTAATCAGAACCATGCCATCTAAATATTACTGACAGCTTAAACACAGGCTTGGACGTGCTGACCTGGAGCCAGTTGCACCAGCTGTTTCTTAGTTCAAACTTAGCCTAATTCTAACATTAGTGTTTCCAAAGAGGGATTTTACACATGACTAAATTAAAACAAGTTGCACCACACAAACTAGTTCTTACATAGAGATCACTTGTTTCTAAATACTTACACCCTGTAACTGCTGGGTCTAACTGTTACAGCTAATTGAACCAACTGAAAGAAACAAACGTAAGCTTGCTAATACAGTATATGAATGTGAGATTTACATTTCACAAAAATAACAAACATTATGCCAATAACAAACTAAATTATTAAATAATGTCAGTTGGGTTAGCATAATCATTTTTCTCTCACTCTAAACTATATGAATACCACTAACTCTGACACACATATCTGTCCATGTATACAGACATAAATAAAACAAATTCATAGCTACATTTACAAAACATAAATCTTTTGCGCCTTTAACTGTGATTTTTGTAAGTTTTAATGGCGAAACATGATTTGGTAAATCACTAGTTTTCAAGTAGTTAGTAGTGACTAAGATCTTAGGAAAGACTTTACATTGAAACTCTATATTCAACCCTGATCAAACACCAGCTGACATGTGTGTGCAATATGTAGGTGCATAAAAATACATAATGTGTGTGTTCTCGTGTGTGTTTGTAGGCTGCCTATCCAGCCATGTGTCTCAGACTGAGGGGAAAACAAAATGGCAGGATGTGGTACTGTGAAGTCTATTAGGACAAAATCACATACTGCCTCTCAGCTGCCAAAAACATTGGATTAAACTTCACTGTGGTTTCAGCAACAATTTTCACTTCATACAATAATGAATGTATGCCAGTTGAGGTGAAGGGATGGATAGCACATGGAAAAGGAGGAGAGAAAAATAGGTGGTCTGAAATGGTAAAGTGGTTTCAAAAGGCAAATGTGTGCTCTAAGTGAGTCAGTGTCTTCTTCAAGCAAAGAGAGGGGCACTCTGTCTATGAACAAACTTAAACCTATGACCTTCATGTCACAAGATGATAGTCTTAATCAGTCACCTAGTACTAGTCACCTTTCCAGTATTTTCTAAGCTGCAAAGACGTAACGTAATGACTCCATGTCATATAAAGCACAGCAGATTTTGTTCAGTACATTAGATAAAGTCACTCCTCTGCTGAGAGGGCCTAACAATGCACACCTGTTTTCACTCTATCTGATTGAGCAGATGATCTGCCCCAACATCACAAACAGAACATCACCAAAAAGAACATAATACATCACCACATTACGGGGGCCCTGATTAACATTTTCTAATAAAAATGCACAACTTAAACAAGCCTGGGTTCTCTTATGTGTAACAGATTAACTGAAACACTGAACTGAAATAATGATTTAACGCAAAACAACGGCTAATGTTGGGAAACAGGGCCTGAGGAAAAGATTTAAAAGCAGCCAAGTACAAAATTAAACGCATTAACAATCCACTCGTCTAGTCTGTTAAAGTCCTAACTCTTGACCTTAAAACAAGTTAACAAGAATAGTTCATTTCCACTAAATGTTTAACTTGTTTTTTTGCAATATTCAAAATGCTGTAAATAAGTGTGCCATAAGGATCAACATAATGTTGCTGAACTCAACTTTCTAGCACATGTTTTTTTTTTTAAACTTAGTCCGCCTCCACTCAAAAATATGTTTTTCTTCTTGTTCCTACAGTTGGATGTTTGAGCTTCACTGTGCAGAATAATGTATGTTCAAAGTGCATAAACTGAGGATGGGCTTTACAGGGAAACAGGAGACATCTTGTGTCCAGCAAAAAGCTTTAAAAATGAACAAAATTAGCATACTCATAGTTTATGGCATTCTAAATGAGGTAGACGGAGATGCTGTTTTTATGTGGAAATACTTTTTTGCAGAAAAAAAAATATCAGACACACATTATTGTTTTGACATACACTATATCCTAATTATGTCAGGAGGTATTCTTTAACAACTGCATTAAGATAGATGTTAGTGAAAAATCAGTGCAGTAATACATTTAAATCTGACCCCTCCCCCCCACATGTTACCATACGTGTGAGACGGGTCTTGTGTCATCACTGTCTCACCTGTCAGACCCAGTTAAATCATTGTAACACCAAGACACACGATGGTTTTCACCCTCAGTCCCTGACAGAAAGCATCAGATTTGCAACTCTGTCCCACTGCCATGTCATTTAATGTCATGCAAAGAGTAACAGAGAAAAGCCAAAATAGATGGCTTACTTGTGACTCATTATTATAAAAAGGCTTGGAGGCACTTCAAGGCTCCTGCGTTTTCTACACAATACAAGTTTTGGGGAATTAGTCATATGCTTATAAAATGGGCTCAAATGCCATTCGGCACGGCATTTCCTTTTGTGTGGCATTACAGTGTGTAATCAAGCGCCGCACTTTCCAGGGCAATCACGTCCTTTATCACAGAGAAACTGTCGCCAACCACCTACAGGGTGGGAGGATAAGCCCTGTGGGTAATAGAGTGTGGTGGGTGCTTGATTGGGTATGGTGAGTGAGAAGTTTTGCTCAAATCTCACACCACTCTCCTGCCCTGCCCCCGCCCTTCACAGCAACAAGACATTGCTGAGGACGACAGCCATCCACACTAGAAATTAGACACTCTTTCACGCCACTTACTCCATTTAATTATTTATTTGTTGCTTTCATGAAACGCTCCAGCCTCTGGCCCAGTGTAAGCTTACTAAGCGACTGACTAACACACGTATCTATTGCAAATATATTTTGTTCTAACACTCTCATTCTCAGTGTAATAAGGAGGCACAGAATTGCCTGAGGTAATCATGGGTGACATGATGTTTATGTAACCTCCAAGCCTCGCAAACCAGATGCAATTATGGGCTCCTGGTTCCTGTGACCCCAACCCTGTAGCATCACGCCGCAAAACTGCAATCCCGTGTCCCTGGGGTGAGCCTGGTTTTGCAAGGTGAGGGGGGAAGGTTGAGTGGGGGCAAGCAAGAGTTGAGTTCTTTTCACAGCTTCCTCCGACGGGAGCTCTTGCTGCCTAATCCAAAGTGACGGGCACTTCAGTGGAGAGGGCGCAGAGCCCCCCAATTTCCGCCAGGACCCCACGGCAGGGGAAGCAGAGAAGCCAACGGCTGGGGTGGCAGACTTATTGTGGCCCAGTGAGAAAGAGTGGGGCAGGGGCCTCATTACAACGCTTAACTGCACTCACAGGCCCTCATTAACCCACCACACCAGTGACTCAAATCAAAACAGACAATAAAAAGGGGTCGCCGTTTGAATAAAGGCCTCCATTTTAGTGTGATTAGAGTTTCAGCATTGTAACAGAGTACTTTATGGAGCTTTTACACAAACAGTTTTCTGTAAACAATGAAGTTTGCTACAATGAGTCAATTTATGTGTAGAAAAATCTTCTCTTAAATGTGTTCATCCAACTTGTATACCTTCCTATTTGACTGCTTCCATGCAGGCATCTGGACATCTGGGAATTCCAGAGGAAAGTAATGAGAGAGTGAGAGTGTAGTTAAACAAAACCCAATATGTCCGCTGTAATAAAAGCACGGTAACATAGTGCTTTAGGTAGCTCAGTCATACAAGACTGCCCTCAGTGCAGACGGATGGATGATGAGAGATGACAGGCACTTACGTATACTGCTAATGGGATGCAAAGCCAGCGCAAAGATAAAGCCCTGCCTGTATCCCCCAACCCCCCCAACCCCCCACTCATCAGTGCTTGGGGGAGAAAAGCTTGGCACGCCAAATGATGCGTTTCATAAAGACAATTAAAGAGCAAATCAATGCTGCTCCCTATGTGAAATAATTACAGATGCAGCCAACGTCAACCGCAAACCACACAGTGGAAAGCATGCAAAGCTCCAATAGTTGCAGAAGAGAGATTGGAGGAGATTTTGAGGTACACTTCTAGAAGATCCTACAGATTAAAAATTTACCCCAGTCGCCAACCTGTTTTTCATTAGGCCTCAGAACATGCTGGAATGTGTTTGAGTTTACAAGGTAGCTCATACATAGTGTGTCTACATCTGTATACTAACGGTTACTATATACTATTACATACACTGTGTTTAAAAAAAAAAAAAAATTTAACACTACAATCAAGTGGGTGGATGAAAATATAATATGTAATCACTGAACAGTATATGAAGTGGCGAGACAGCAGCTAGCCGGCTCTCAGATCCGCAGTCTGAAAAACATGATGATGAGGTCACAGTGTAAAGACCAGCAGGCCATCACATTCTGTCTGTCACATCATCAACGGCACTCTCCTCCCCATTTTAGAGCCCTTAATCTGCATACATCACCATAGAGGAGAGGAAAGAAACTTACTTAGTGGAGTTCTATGCACTGTGCATTATGTGCTTGTAGAGGAATGAGTGTGATGAAGAGGTACTATACAGGGAATAAACGACAAAAGGGCAGCATAGGAATACACATGGAAAAAAGAAAGAAGAGGGAAGAGAAGAGAAAAGAAGAGAAGAGAAGAGGAAACCACTTGGGGAATATAAAGTGTAGAAGGAGACAGATGGGCCCACTTACCAGCCTGGTTAGTGGTAATGTTGACTGAGGCGTACTGAGGGGAGTAGGGGCTCTGATCTGACACCCCGTTGACAGCCTGCACCTCAAACGTGTACTGCGTGTGGGCCAACAGGTCACTAATGTAGACCCGAGATTCTGTCAGACCCAGCTGACGGGGCAAAAACTGAACGTTGTCCCCACAGCGGGTGCAGCCTCCCCGGCCTCCTCCGCAGCTCTTGCAGATGATGTTGAAAACTACGTCCTCACGGCCCCCCGAATCCCGAGGAGGCATCCACTCCAGCATCACAGAGGTTTCATTCACGCTGGAGATAACAGTCTGTGGAGCTGAAGGGACGGCTGCAAAATACAAGAGAGACTCTTAACACTTGAGTGAATAAACCAATGCACAGATATTTTGGGAAGTAAGCTGTCAATTGAACTAAATTGCAGATGTATACTTTGGCATTGACATACATCATAATGAAAATTCTAAATACAAAGTAAAAAGAAGAAAAAGGAAACGTTGTGACAAAACAGTTTTGCACAGAACTCTCACAGATCTGTTTTGATGTTCATAACTCTTTCCTGTAACACAGAAAAACTGTTTGGTTCCAAACTGCTTCAAAATGGCACAACTGGATGAGGATCTGGAACAAAAACAGCTCTCTTATATGCTGACCCTAAGCCTGGCTATCAAATTACAATGAAATGTTTTACCAAGTTTTCAAACCTTCACTGAATGATTTTTTGACACCTTGGCAACAAAACTACAAATAACACATGGATATATATGTAGGGTAAATACACTGTAAAACAGTTGTTTATTTACACATCCAGCAGACACAGGGCAACATTAGGGTTTATTTGAGATGTGTTTATGCCCACCTGGCAAATGTAAGTCTAATATTCACTGTCCTTTTAGCTCTGTTTTTGATATTCAAACACTCCCAGGGGAAATATATCGCTGCTATTAACTGCTAAATGCTCCACTATGTTTACCAGCAAGTCGCCAACTGTGTCTTTCTGCCGCTGGGGCTGGGCAGGTAGTGTACAGTGGCTTTTTCATGGCTTTTTCACTGAAAACAGCTGCCTGCTGCTGGAAACAAGGTTGATGAGAGCAGTGAGAGTGAATCAAAACAGTTAAGTTGCAGGCCGTAAAACCAAAACAGTGAGCAGAGCAACCCTGAGGGGAACTGCAGAGTTTGATGAAAATTCTCTTTGGGTTTGTCACTACAAGTACCTCCTTTCACGGAGTTACATATGATCCTAATATAAAAATCTTTGATTATAGCCTTTAAGATATCCTGCGAAGGACCAAAGATTTTACAATCTAACAAGTGGTTGAAAATTTGATTATGTAAATTTCATTTGTCGTAGCATTCAGTAGTTTTCATTGGCATTTTTTGCTAGAAAGACTGGAAATTGTTGTCTCTCATACGTGCCACAACTTCAAGGAAACTACTTTTGCATTCACATTGCATTACATTCCACAGCATTGTTCTAATTTTATGATGGAAGCCGTGTTGTGTAGTTGATGGTGTGGAGGGCATAATTACCAACATCACCTAAATAACCCCTATACAGGAGAAGGGAAAATCCACAAACTCACTAACATACTATAGCCTCTTTGAGGTCTGAGTCTGTGTTCCAAGCTGGCTGTGTCTCTTCCCACGGGACGTCCATTTACATTCTCTCATTTTCCATGTTGGTGTCCACTTTGTCAAGTGTTTTCTTAAGATCTATTCTTGACAATTTTCTCATGGTGCATCGTATAGAGTTACTGCAGTGGAGAGAAACCTACTGTTCCTCCTGTTGAGACATTCTTAGCAGCTAGGCATTACAGGGTGGAAACTTTCCACATGGTGCTACATGTTGAGTGACAGGCCAAACAAACAAACATTGAGAACTGTTTATCTTTTACAGCCATGTGCACCTAATTATGGAAGATGTATCCTCCAGGACTAATGAGATAAACAATTCCACTCCGCCCACAACATCCTAAATCTAAATCGATCATTTCTTATTTAACCTCCTTTTAATTGGCAGCAATTAACAGATCTCCGGTTCTGGAAGGAAGCCCATTGGAGTGCCCTTCTTGGTGTCTCTCATACATGGAAACATAACTCCTCCTTGGCATCTCCTTCCTGGGGAGGAGGACTAATATCCCCCCCATTAGCTGGCGGGCCACTCTGATGGGCCCATTCCCTTGCTTTAATCAGGCCGGGCCCTGCTGCGCTTAATACGGGTGACGTGACGCTGCTGCTTTCTCATTCACAACAGCTGCTCAACTCCCAGAGCCAGGCTTATGCAAATCTCCTTTGTTGGAGACCATCAAATCTTTTCCCTCCTCTCTCCCTTTCAACAGGCAGAGAGGGAGAGTGAGGAAAAAAACACTACCAAAACGTTGAAAGGGGCTTTTTTTTCTCACTCACCCCCGTTTTGTTTTAGTTAGACCACACTCTATGCACCAATTCTCTGTCTTTCTCACATGCACACAACCCTGCTCCGTCTCACTCAAACTCCTTCTCCTTCATTCCTTTCGAGTCCTCACGCTTTACTCCTCCTTCGCTCACTTTGGCTTTGGTCTATCCTTCCATCTCTCTCTCCCTCTCTCTCTCTCTCTCTCTCTCTCTCTCTCTCTCTCTCTCTCTCCTTCTCTCTCTCAACCTCAGTGTCAGCCTCAAATTCAAATTCAAATTCAAACAGCTTCATTGGCATGACAAGAGAGAGTCTCGCCTGGGCTCATTCTCCCTGCCTGCCCCTTCACAAAGCTACGCGCCCTGGCCCAGTAACCTCTGGTCTGGCTTGGAGTACGGGCTGTGTGATGTTTAGGAGGGGCAGCCGAGCCTTGTGTGTTGGGTCAGATCTGTGGACAGCCACACTATGGGCATGTCAGCGTCGTGTTCGTGTGAGGGACAGCTCTGACAGGGTTTCTCTGTTTGGAGTTACACAGACTACCACTGTCCTTTGATCCCCGGGCTCTTCTGCTTGCGGCTGTGAAATGTGTATGTGTCAAAAAGTTCATATTTGAAATCAAAGGCTTTGTCGGCGTGTATTCATGTGGGTGCACTATGTGTGTTTGTGTGGAGTGTAAGTCAAAGCTCACATATAACAATTTCAGTACTATACATACTTGTGCATGGCATCTGGAGAGGATCTGAGTCGGTGCGATAGTATCCGTTGCGGCAAACGCAGTTAATGGCACCTTCACTGGTGGTACGGCTGTTGATGGGACACTGCATACAGGGTTCATCTCCTTGAGTTGGCTTGAAAAAGCCAGACGGACAGGCTGAAAGACAGTGGAGGGTACGTATGTGAATTTAAAAGAAATTACACTTTTTTTAAAGCACAGTGAATTTGAATTAATTTCTTCGTATCAAAAGCTTTGATTGACAGCAGGATAGTTAAGTTTGAAATACAAAGGTAAAGGTATGGGGCTTCAACAATATAAATGTTTAGTTTAACTTTCTGATCAACTTATAAATTACTTATTTATATCTAATTATTTTGGCACTATTACAGTTAAATGTAGGAGCCTGTATATAGTTATATTGAGTATCTATCTGTAAAAGAGAAAGAAATGTATTTTTTTTTCTTTCCACTATTTTCCATTTCCTATATATTTCAAGCACTTTACTTTTAACTGTTATTATTTGGTTACATCTTGTATTACAACAGAAGCCATGAGGTGACCAAAATGCAAAAAACAGCCAACAAAACACAGACCACAAGTCCAACATGTAAATATACATCGGAACAACCAATATATAAATACACACCAGTCTAGCCTTGCATGTGAGGCAACTCTCTGTAGGTATGGAAACATGGTAACTTGCTGTAAGTTTGCTTTGAATTATTCACAATTCTGCCTGAGAAAAAAGTGCCCTGCTTTCTGTTAAGAGCCCTTTTAAAGGCCTCTCTGTGGAAACCTGGGAGGAAACTTACATTCATGATAGAGACGAAGATGAACTCACACACCGCAATTGCCATTAAATTCTGAATTTGTGTATCTGGCTGCATGTGGGTGAATCACAAGCTGTATACGGGATGACTCTGTTTGTATGTTGCCATAAGCGTCCATCATTGCAGTGATAAACAAACTTTGCTGTCTGTGAAATCCCCTTATCCTCTCCTGAGTCACATTCTGCCTAAACCTTCACTGCTTTTTTTTTTTCTTCCAGCATTTGCACCTGCACCATGTCAAGAGCTTTTTTTCTATCTTAGGCCGAAACAGCTACGGTTTTGCTTCAGGTAATCCAGCTCCCACCTGCCCCACCGATGAAGGAGAAAATACAGCAGTGTTGAGACAGAGGCGTTGAAAGTACAGTAACATGAAAAATTCACACACGGGACGCAGAGCATATCTGAAGTTAAAACCCCTCAGGTCTGTCAGTGCAGTTGTTTTTTTAGTAACAGCGTAAAAAGCATAGTTATTTGTTGGGTCTGATAAAAGGAAACAAAATATAGTAGCTTTTACATCAATTCATGGTTCTTTTTCTATTGGATTTCTATTATTTCTAAGTCAAACATGGTAGGTTCATAAGAATATATTCTTTTAATCCTCTATCAATGCTGATTTTGACATGTGCACTTCTTTCTTATGCTTGCAATATTTAAAACAATTTGTCTCGCTCATTAAGGGAACAGTTTTCCCCCTCCGTTTTCTATATATTTCCAAAAACTTACGATAACATGACTGCAGTTTTCTACATTGTAAGGTTGTAAAAATACAGCCACTATTTCATTCTGAGGTTGTACTGGCAATTACAGCTCAACTGTAGCATCTGGAATATGGAAACATCTGCAGCTGCAACTTCCATTTAAAATAGAGTTCAAATCACAAGGCGGAATTAGTCCGGGTCCAATCCCAATGTTTATATTAGACAGACACATCACTGTACTCACAGACCATACAGACCCTACAGGCCAGGGATTAATGCTCTTTTCCCCCTGTTAACTACAGTACATTACTCACCTTCTAAATGTGACCATTACAGTGATTCAAAAAATTGTGACAGAGGCAGACATTCTTTTATAATAATGTAATAAACCTTTAATATTTATAACTGTGGAAAGGGATTGGTGTAACAAGGTATTTTTGGTTGATTTTGCTGATATTCTGCAGGTTTATAAATTCTATACTTGCATCACCTATTCATGGAGAGAGTTGAACACAGCTTCACTTACACAGTTTGTTCATAAGAGAAGCTGTTTTTATTAAATAAACTTTATATCAAGCATCTTTGGCTTCAGTTATCTTTGTTATATTATCACAAACGTCAGTTATTCCAAACTAAAAATGAAGTAATCTTAAAGATCTCCTCACTAAGTATTAGCTTTGACATGTTTTTCTTCTGCCATGATTGATGGGGGAAAAGGTTTTGGGTACAGAGCGAAACATGAGGCCTGGACATTCACACTGCCAGTCAACGGGGTCTGTGAATGAGGCCCAGGCAACAGCTATGTGGGGAATTGGGATCGAACCTCTGCGGCACAGTGAGGTCTATGGGAGTGCGGCGCTCAGAGGAGCAACACCAAAGGAAACAGCATAAAGAGGTAGTGAAGGGGGGAAGGAGAGAGTAGAAGTGTAAAAATGGGAACAAAGAGACGAGGGGTGGAGAATGGCTGTGTTTGGGAGTTTTTCAGCCAAGGAATTCAGCGTGTAACTGTGCCCACAGTGAATATATGTGCTGCAACAGTGTGCAGACTGTGTATAACAATCAGAACAATGACTTTAAAATCTGCATGGGGAGGAAAATGAGAGACTACAATTGATTAGCAGTAATAAAGCCCCATGATGCCTTGCTACCACAGTGGCTGTATTTAAATATTCTGTGGTAATCGTTGGATGGCACACAGGAGGGTGATTTTTTTCCAAATTTTCCCAGCAAACACTGTCTACTGTAAATCTGTTCAATTTTACCTTGTGTAAAATCCCCATTATGTGTTTATACATACTTAGATTTATAAATGGTCAAATCCCACAAATATCTTCCAATTGTTGTATGTGGTTTATCTAGTCATATTTCAGATTTTTAGTTTTGGTTCATCAAAGTTTGAAAAAGCAAAATAAAAAAATCCTTAGATGTGTTCTAATGAACAGAAAAAGATGCACATTTGCACATTTAACCACAACTGACATGTATTCAACAAGAGTTTTCAACATCTTTCCTAAAATATTTAGCTTGGTGGTTTCTTTTGTCCAACATCTACCAGATAAATTAAGCTCACTATATCAAGATTACACAAAAATAATAGCATTGACATTCAAGTATTTGCCAATTTAATTCTTCTTTTTATGCATTTGTGGCATTGGCATCTGTGACAAAGCTTTTTCATCTGGTACCTCATAAAGTTAAAACCATCCATGAAAAAAGTATTTGTTGAAACCATCCTATCCAGTTCAAGAGGACACGGTATTATATGTCTTGGCATGCCTCTCTGCCCTGCCACGGTCATTACTTTGGGGAAATATTTTGGGAATTTCCACTTTATACCCGGATGACAGATTTTAAGAGTTGCAAAGTTGTCTGGTGTCAGAAGTAGAGAAGCAGAGACGAGCAGAGCAGTGATTAAAAAACAGATCAGAGCTTTAATTCCCTACCTCCCTGCCTGCCCAGATTGCTGCTGTTGAGCTGTTTGATCACCATCCTAGCAGTCTTACTCAACATGTGAGAGCTAAAGGCTGTTTTTTTGGATGTTTTCTCTAACTTCAGATATCCTCCTGGCAAGTCGAGTTAATTACTGCAAGAATATTCATTGACAACAGCTCCTCTATTGTTCCTGCCTCCTATACTTAAATAATCCACAACACACCACTGTTAATGTCATTAATATCATCAAGCAAACATGCCACGCTTTGCTATTGGATCTCTGGGGACTGTGCACGTGGAGTCTGGAACTGGGACAAACAATGAAATGTGGCAATAAGTCAAAAACAAAGGCCACACAGAAAAGCTTTAAGAGAATTTATAAACACTTCAGACTCAATTTAGTGGTAGCCGTGTCAAAAGGTCCAGATCACCTCAAATTGGTTCCAGAGACACTGCAGGCATATTTACTCCTAAATCTTAAAGATCTTGTGAAATCATAGGAACATTTCTGCCAATGGGGTGACATAGTTTTGTTTCCAATGTTGTTTGATCGTTTAAAAACCAAGTATTACATTACTTTAATCTAACACTGAGTCTTAAAACTCAATCTGAATAATACCTCCCCCACACACATTCCAAACCCCCAGCTGCTTGTGTCTGTCTATGTTTATGACTTTTAATAACATATAGTGACATAAAGGCTTTAATTAGGGGTTTTCACTAGACTCACTGAATAAAAATAGTACTGCACGAGCTGCGAGAAGTGAGCCGCTGTGCCAGGGTGCTAGTCAGTTTTTACAGCAGGTAATTTGCTGGTTGTTTCAAAGGTTTCCTGAATATTACAGCGGGAGAGATTTATGGCGCGTTGAAGAGGAGACCTGCAGCTAAAACCATCTGAATCCTACAAAGTATGTGCGCCTCTGTGTGTGACTATTTATGTGTGTGTGAGAGAAAAAGAGAGAGAAGAAAGACACAAACAGACAGAAAGACAGAGAAAGGCAGGGAGTGTTGTTTTCAGCAGCGATGCCGACATGACCAGCTATTGCTGGCTGGAAACACTCCCTGTGCTCCTCTGACCAAATCAACAGTCACACATACACACACACACACACACACACACACACACACACACACACAGCACATAGAGAGAAGCCAAACAAAGACTGGGCATTTGACATTTCCATCATGGCTGCCTGGGCAGTTCTGTATGCTGTGCGATCACAACCAGACAATCAGCTGGCTGATACCAGGTAATCCAGCCTAAGGCCACACCTATTGAGGTAACAACACCCATCCAGTCTCTTTCACCCAACCATCTCTCATCTACACCACCCGACAGAGAGACTCTTTGTCCAGCAGTCTGGGGCATCACAGCAAAAACAGCACACCACTCCAGCCCCCTCTTCCCTGTTCCCCCTTTTCAGGATCAAATCCACCCTCCCCCAAAACTGCTTTATTTAATGAACACACCATTAAAGAAGAGACAAGGGAGACAAAGACGGGCAAGGTGTGTGTGTGTGTGTGTGTGTGTGTGTGTGTGTGTGTGTGTGTGTGTGTGGGTGTGGGCGTGTGTGTGCATGTGGTGTTCAGGGTGTGAAAGAGAAAAGGCTGGAGGGGTAAAAAAAAAAAAAAAAGAAAAAATCAGAGGTGCTAGATTTTGTGCGCACAGCAGGAAAAAGTGCTGAAAGCGGTGAAA